GATGATGATGATGATGATGATGATGATGATGATGATGATGATGATGATGATGACGAAGGAGAAGAAGAAGAAGACGCAGTAGCCGAACTCACACTGCACGTTGAGGGAGATGTCGTTGCCTCGCGTGGTGCCCTGTGCGTTAGTCGCCAGACACACGTAGACCCCGGCGTCAGAGTCTTTGAGAGACTGTACGGTCAAGCTCGGGGAGCTGGTGGTCCCGCCTGTGTACTTGCTGCGGTCACTCGTGGTCAGGGGGAGGCCGTCTGGGGGTGAGGATGAGGTTGGGGTGAGGGTGAGGGTGAGGGGGGTTGGAGGTGAGGGTGAGGGGGTGAGGGGGTGGGTGAGGGTGGAGGTTGGGGTGGGGGTTGGGGATGGGGTGTAGACAGTGTGGTTTGTTAATTAGTTGGCTGGTTTGTTTGAGTAAAGAGAAGCACATTAGATAAGATAAGATAAGATAAGATAAAATAGGATAGATAGGATAAGATAAGATGAGAGAAGATGAGATGAGATGAGATGAGATGCGATGAGATGCGATGAGATGAGATAAGATAAGATACATCTATATTGTCCTTTCCTGGCACATCAGTTTGGTGTTTCACAACAACAACAACCTACAGTTTACCTACACGTATTTTTTTTCTTTTCCCAGAATAGTACATGTATAAATAATGAAATACAAAATTACCTTTGAAACAAGAACCAATAAATGGAAGGACAACAGTATTCCTCATATTGACTTGTGAGGAAGAAATGCATGCAATACCTTTGCTCGGGTCCGTCAGTCCGGTGGTGAATATTATAATCAACGAAATACAAAACTATCTTTGAAACAAGAACGACTAAATGACAGTATGAAGTTTGTCCTCATGTTGAAATATGAGGAAGAAATACCTGCAATACTTTTGCTCTACGTGAGGTCCGTCAGTCCGGTGGCGAATATTATAATCAACGAAATACAAAACTATCTTTGTAACTAGAACCACTAAATGACAGTGTGAGCGTTGTCTTGTCCTTTTGTTGAGATATGAGGAAGGAGTACAGGCAATACCTTTGCTCAGGTCCGTCAATCCGGTGTGAATATTATAATCAATAAAATACAAAACTATCTTAGAAACAAAAACCAGTAAATGACAGTATGAACGTTGCCATGTCCTTATGTTGAGATATGAGGAAGAAAATACCTGCAATACCTTTTCTCAGGTTCGTCAGTCCGGTTGTGAATATTATAATCAACGAAATACAAAACTATATTTGAAACTAGAACCACTAAATGACAGTGTGAGCGTTGTCCTTATGTTGAAATATGAGGAAGAAATACCTGCAATACTTTTGCTCTACGTGAAGTCCGTCAGTCCGGTGGCGAATATTATAATCAATGAAATACAAAACTATCTTTGAAACCAGAACCACTAAATGACAGTGTGAACGTTGTCTTGTCCTTTTGTTGAGATATGAGGAAGGAATACATGCAATACCTTTGCTCCAGGTCAGGTCGGTCAGTCCAGCACCGGCGTTGACGTCACAGGTCAAGGTCACGGGGTTATTCTCTCGTCCATTCACGCTTGTCTGTGGTGTGGTGACTATTGGTCGGGCTGTGGGAGGGAGGAGGTATAGGTTATTAGTGGTTGTTGTTGTTGTTGTTGTTGTTGTTTGTGTTGTTGTTGTTTGTATTGTTGTTGTTGTTGTTGTTGTTGGTGGTGTGGTTGTTGTTGTTTGTGTTGTTGTTGTTGTTGGTGGTGGTGGTGGTGGTGGTGGTGGTGGTGTTGTTGCTGTTTTTGTTGGTGGTGGTGTTGGTGGAGGGAGGTGATGTGAGGTATTTGCTGTTGCTGTTGTTGTTGTTGTTGTTGTTATTGTTGGTGGTGGTGGTGTTGTTGACGTCTGTGGTGTGGTGACTATCGGTCGGGCTGTGGGAGGGACGAGGAGACATAGGGTATTTGTGGCTGTTGTTGTTGGCGCTGTTGTTGTTGTTGTTGTTGTTGTTGTCGATAATGGTGGTGGTGGTGACGGTGATGGTCGTGGTTGTGAAGGTGTGACTACTGGTCGGGCGGTGGGAAGGAGGAGGTATAGGGTATTTGTGGTTGTTGTTGTTGTTGGTGGTGGTGGTGGTGGGGATGGTGATGGTGGTGGTTGCGGTGATGGGGGTGACCATTGGTCGTGCTGTTGGAGGGAGGAGGTATAGTGTATTTAAGGTTGTTGTTGTTGTTGTTGTCGTTGTTGTTGTCGTTGTTGTTGTTGTGGTGGTTTTGTTGTCGTCGTTGTTGTTGGTGGTGGTGATGTTGTCTGTGGTATGGTGACTACTGCTCGGGCTTTGGGAGGGAGGAGATTTACAGCTGTTGTTGTTGTTGTTGTTGTTGTGGTTAGGGGTGTTGGTGATGGTGGTGGAGGTGGTAGCAGTGGTGGTGATTGTGATGGTGGCAATGGTGGTGGTGGTTGTGATACTGGGGTGTGGTGACTACTTATCTGGG